GGGTAGACGTGGTGCTTGAGGACATGGTTTAGTGGTGGACTTGGCAGTGCTAGGTTAACGGTTGGACTTGATGATCTTAAGGGTCTTTTCCAACCTTAATGATTCTATGATTCTATATGACATTAATTTGGCGTAACATTCAATCAGTGTAAAATAGCATTACATTAACACTATATTTACAAGTTATGAGCCTTTAAAAATATACTATTATATGGCATATGATGATACTTAAAAACAGAATAGTAAAAAGCAACAGTCCTCTGCTGCTTGGGAACAGGGATGCATTAATTATGCAGAGCGTATGTGTGTGTGGGGTAGCTCTGGCTATAACTCTGCATAGCCTTTAGGATTCACTCAGGCATGCATTACCTGAATTACGTGACCACTAAGCAAAGCTGGCTGGGTTTCATTCCAATACATCATCGGTTACAAATACAAACTTTAATTGCAATTCATCACATGCTTGTGCCTGTGTGTGATTTGTCTCACTAAAATACCATCTCCCGAGGCCAAATAAAGAAGCTACTCATCTCAAAGACAACTTTCAAGCACAACGAAAATAAATGGAAGTTAATGGCTAGAGTGGTGCAAATGCACATGCTTTCAAATTTCTGTATTCTTAAATCTCTCTGTTATGCAAGTGCAACACTTTTAATGTGCCAGACACACCCAAGTTGACAGCCATCAGAAAGCTTGCACAGCCCACTGAAAGCAGCTAGTATTAGGAATCATTACAATTAGTAATTGAGAAAATAAGGTAACTGTCCAGTTCTTAAGTGCTGCCTAAATGTAGAGCAATCACACATGCTTCACAGAGATTAACATGAACTAATTAACTTAATGGCATTTATACATTTTCCACACTCCAATACTAAACAGAAAAAATTCAACGTTTCTGTTATTTATCCTTGTCCTCAGTGCTCTAAAATAATTGCTGGTCTTACGGCACTGCTCTATTACATTTCATATTCAACCTTCCCCCAACATTGGCAATGGTATTGAATCTTGATGAGCTAATGCTGAAGAGTCAGTTTCAAGCACCAAACTACCTAGCCTGCATTTTTATAAGCCGTTTGTGGTTTAAATATACTGTCACTATAGTTGACCACAAAAGGAATTAGCAGCTATTTTGATTTTGGCTTGTCTACACTAATTTTAGATGTTTGACACAAAATACATACCACACCCAAAACAGAAATTTAACTTGTGTTTTATTGGCCAAGGAATTATTTTGCTACATATTATTATTACTTTACATTTACAATATTAATTATCTATATGACATAAAAACAATAGCTATTCTGCTTTGATATTTTAACTTATCTATCACTGAGGTGTTCACATACACACACTCCCTGCCAGGCATCCATTTGCCGCATTTTCAGAATAATCGTTCTGAAAATTTCCATACCCTCTCTATTTGGATCTTGCCAGATAGTGGCTCAGTGATTTTTATTTTACATTTTTAGATCAAGTGCTGAACAATCTAGCTAGCCAATAACTCTCACACTGATGTCACCTACACATGGGCCATTTCCTAAAAGGACGGAAATGTTCAGCCAGGTAAAATCCTACACTTAGGTCATCACAGTAAGAAAGACGATGAAAATTAAGGGAGTTACAGCTGCAACCAGAAACACTCTCAACACCTCAGACGTCACACAGCTTAGACTAGACTGCATAAGTAATTTAACACTTTGATGATGCAGGGGCGTTCTCTTCAAAGGGAGTTTTGGCCTGCTCCTGCCTTTTGACTTTACTTGAACCTGAATTGAAGAAGGAAGCAGCAGTAGCTATTCCTGAACCTGGCATAGGGCTGCCACACGCGCTGTTTGCAGCCAAGCAGACTATCTCACATACACTGAGGAAATTGCCAGCAACCGATCGGAGCTGGTATTCAGCTTACAGATTGCTCACTAGGCAGATGTAGCCTCCTGAAGGAAACTTGCTTGCCATTTTACAGACTAAATGGAAAGCAGAACAAGTTTACACCTCAAGAGACCCCGGAGAGCTACAGGGCAAAGCTGCTGAGCTGAGCTCACAAAACCTTCATGATGGTCAAGACAATTAGAGTAGGGAAATGGAAAAGGGATGATTGAATTATTCCATCCAGTGCCTCATGCTTAATCTGAACAAAAACAGCTCTTGGAAGTCTGCATGCTATGTTTCAATTCTAATGAGGTCCTGAAGAGAGAGATTTTAAGCAAGGGGAACTGCAGGGGCTGAAACTCTGGAGCTGATATGCCTTTGCTCCAGGCGAAGAGGGAGCACAATTCTCCACACCATGCGCTTTATATTTTATGTTTTACTATGCAACATCATAAGTGATACAGAGTGTGGAGCTTGAAATCCTGTCTACTGAACAAAGACAGGCAAAGCTTTTGTTCAGCTCCAAGAAACTCACAACACTAGGTCCAGCATTTGAAGCCACAAGAGCAAAGAGAGACAGCAGGATATACTAGGCTGTGGCAAAAAGAATTTAAAAAAACAAAAAACAAACCAAAACCAAACAAAAAAAACACCCCAAAACCAAAAAAACAACACTGTTTGGATGAAAATTACTTTCATTCTCCATTTAGTGGACATGGCCAAAGTCTGGTGACCATACAACTTTCAGTATTTATTTTGAAAAATTGTTTCAGCTATTCAAAATATAAACATACTAAAGAAAACCACCAGCTTTCAGAGCTTGAATACACTGCTTCTGAGAGCAAAGGTTGTCTGGCAACTGTGATTTTTTTTCTTTGGGGTTACTCTTTAAAAGTGCCACACCACCATGGAAATTGATACAAGGACTAATGCCTATTACACATTAGCGTGTAATGCAGTACAGCATACTGGTTATACAATACGCTATTGTTCAATAAACTGCTAAGCAGTAAAACACTACTTAGGAAGGCCATATGCTTGTCAGGGAGATTGTCAGGAGAAACTGTTAGTCATTTTAATGAGAGGGAAACAAAACTAACTCCTCCCAAAAGTTAGCTCTCTTTTTCAAGGTAAATTAACGCCAATTAGCTACATTCTTTCATCAGTCTTCCTAAATGTGGTTTTTCAGATAAAGCTAGAGAAAAGCAAGATAAATCTCCGACTTGTACGTGCTAAGAGTTTTATGCTAACTGAAATAAGCAAAGATTACTTCACTAGAGCGCAGTGGCAGACGATTCAGATCATAAATGCAATGGCATTTAAGCAAAAACCCTCACAAAATAATGGTGCTTTTCCCTGTAACACCACACTCGCTTTCCAATACTGTTTGCTTTCACAAGGCAAACAGATTAAAGCAATGGCAACTTATTCCCCATTCAAAAATGTAAATAATTTAAACTGCTAGTCATAAGAACTATAGAAAATAATGGAAAGAAGGCTTCCTGAAGAAAGTAGAGAGGATTCTACAGAAAAGAGATTTTTTTTTTTTTCACTTCATATAGGTAAAACCAGCTTTAATTGCAAAGTACTTGCATTTCTGACATAGGAAGAACCACAACAACACACAACTACATGGGCTGTAAGTAACTGGGCTGAAAACACTTGTCAAGAGAAGAAAAATTTGGGTGCTCCTTTCTGTATACGACTCCAAAAGTGCTCATCAGTAAAGCCTGCACTGACACTGTAAGTATTTGTGAGTTTCTCGAGTATCACCTGTGAATGCACTTTTAAACTTACCGCTTCTCCACATCACTCCAGTCGCTGAAAAGCCTTTCATTTTCTTTTTGCAGGTGCTCATTTTTTGCCTTCAGTCTTCCCAGGCAGTCTAGGCAGTAACCAATCAGTTCCTTAACCACCTCCACCGGACTTGAAACTTTCTGTAGCTTCAAAGATCCAAGTCTAAACTAGGACACAAGGAAAGAATGAGTTATTTCATCTGTACTAGAAAGCTCACAAAACATTGCTCCAATAAACTTGAATACATACTTAATAAGCATAAGAAATACCTTACACTGCTCCAGTTCAAAGTGATACAATGAATTTGTCACAAGAATAATTGTGGAACATGTGGAATAATCTACACGCCAACTATTTATGCAGTTAATACATCTTAATGGTCACCTGTCACTGAATAGGCACAGGACATAAGCACTGACATACTTTCTAACAAGCAGGAAAAGAGATGCCACACAGGAAATGTAACATGATACAGCAACAACCTGCTCTTGTACAGATCAGATGAGGTCAGCAGCATAACGGTGCAACCACAGATTTTATATAAAAGGCATTTTTGATGTAATGCAGAACCCCAGGAACTGAAAACCTAACGGTATTGCTAACATGTTCTTGCCATCTGCCGAATGAAATAGCTGAAGAAACTTCCTATTCTAGTATCCACAGCAGCAACACAACCACATAAATATTACTGATAAAACAAATTAAGATCAATTACTTTTGATTTAAAATAGTATTACAAATGCCTGTCTATGATCTTTGCATGCACCTGATGGATGAAAACTAGCCCAAGTTTTCTCTTTCAGGGCTCAGACAGCAAGGTCTTAATAATGAAAGGAGTCCTTCAATTAAATAGATGGCCTCAATAATTCAATGAGATTAAAGGATAGGATCTATAATGAATAGTTGTATTTCTTCAGCAATGGGGAAGTTATACAGGATATACATGAGGTCTGAACAGATTTGTTCTGCCTGGTCTGGCAGAAACAACAGAAAACTGTTGTTTCTATTATGTTAAAGGAGGAATAGTTCAGCCATATGCACAAAACAGTTTCAGCTAAACTATAAACAGGCAAAGCTGGATGAAGATATAAAGATATAAAAAATGTTCGGTGTGACAGTTTGATGCAATTGAAGAAGAAAGATCTAAGGTTGCTTGAACAAGGTCACATGCATTATCTTAAGAGAAGCAAACCACAAGTGAAGGAGCTGACTTTGGTGCTCTGGAGTGGGTAGATGATGGGGAATCTGAACTATCTTAAGGTACACTTCCATAGCTGATAGAGCCTACAGAAGCCATAGGGGGCTTTTCTGACGCCTCTCCACAGCTAGCAGCAGCACCATTTGCCCAGCTTGACAAAAAACTAGTTGAGGGAGCAGATCCAGAGACAAGCAGAGTGGGTTGGATGACACAATCCAGACTTTGCCCAGCTTAAACTACAGCAGACACAGACCTTTCAGGAAAGAGGTATCAAAATGGCTTGGCTTTGCTTGCAAATGCCTGCAGAAATGTTGAATTGGTGAGGGGTACATGGAAGGAGAAAGGGTCCTCTCTCACATCTTGTAATTATTAAAAGGACTGACATAACTATTGTGGTATTTCCCTACGAATAGACCTATTACTCATCTTTTCAACTTGAATACATGGCAATAACATCTTAAAAAAATATAAAAGTAAGTGGTACATGCTAGGGAAGCGACCAGTCTGTGTCATGGCACCTCACCTATTAAAATCAGAAATGCCATTTCATTCATTTTTCTCCTCACTTTAGTTCATTTTACTTAGGAGGGCATGGCAAATAACTAAATAAAAGACATCCGTGAAAAAAATCTGTAGCGTTTGTTAACACTTCTTAAAAAGTTAAGTTTACTACTACTCTACATAAGGTTTTACTGAAAAAGACCTTGTAAAAATTGCTCATAAAGATTTTAAAGGCATTGTTTGAAACAAATAACAGTCCTTCAACTTAGATAAGATATTTTATCTGGGGAAGTCTCTGCAACAACACATGATACCATCATGAGCTTCTTCAACAAGGTTAATTTATCCAAAAATGTGGCAAACCCAAAGTTTTAATTTCAAATTAGCCACTGATCTTTCTTCCAAATTCATGTGTACTGGCTCTAACATAATATTTTCCTTTAGCTTACATACATCTGATGGGTATAGATGAAAAGATGCATTTAATTTATTTTTGGAAATTAGATTACATTATCAGTAACACACAGAGTGACACGTATTCCCTGGATATCACACTTGCTGTTTGACAGCATTAACAAAGATGGACATCTGTGTAAAGGAAACTGTTTTTCATCACTTGCAAGCCACCACCATACTATACGGATAAAGAATTCATGCCACACTTGAATACTAGCCTCAGAGATAGAGAAGCACAGTAGCACAGATAAACAGCAACGCAATCTTCTACTTATACTGTGGAGGAAATAGCAAGAGTGCATCTTTCTGTCTTATGCTTTTAATATAATCAACTGAGATAAGACATAGGCAAATATGTTTAATCAGGACAAACCAGCATTGTCCAAATTACAGTTTACTCAGCACAAAAGAAAAAATTACAAACAATTCTAAAACAGAATAAAGTGAATAACAATAGATTTCAGCTGAAAGCCTGATTCCACTCACAATCAAAATCATGCCACACGCACAGCAGAAATTTCAAAAGAAATTGTAATTACAAACACCAGTTCAGCCTCTTAAATATATTACACAACCGATACTGCAACGTGGAGTTCTGAAACTGCAAAATACAGCCTCAGCTTCATGGACCTCTGCCATGAAAGAATTTCTGAAAATCTGTAAGAAAAAACAACGTCTTTCTTTTTATAAAAGCTGATACACTAAAAAAAAAAAAATCAAACCAGGCTTTTGGGCATGATACCTTTTTTGGTGAATTCTCAAAACAGAGAGGGGGAGAGGTCACAGTGCAGAGAGTGGAGCAAGAAATGCAAGCCAGCCTGACGAGCCACTGCTAATGTGTGCACCACCAGAGGGGAGGTGCTGGACAGATTGCCACACTGCTACAGGGACACAATTAATTTGGTTGGCCATCTTTTTAGGTGTTCATTTCGAAGTTAAAACAGTAACAGTCTTTAATTTAGTCTTTAATTCAGTCTTTATACAAAGCAATTGACTGTTGCATACTTTCTTACATAAAACTTCACTGTACTGCTTTCTGTGTCTTACACCCCATGATCTGTAGACCATTTCTAGCAGGTAAGTAAAGCAAGCCCGTTACCAGGAAGCTTAAATCCATTAGACACGTGCTAACATATCAACCAAGAAAAAAAAATATCATAAGGCATCTGCAAAGAAGTATTCTTCTGTTTATTTTTTGCTCCCCCGCCCCGCAAGTCGTCTAATCTTGACTTAATATAGTTGTAGGAGCAAGTTATCTGGCTTACATTGCAGCTACCTCCAGCACCTCAGTGCAGAGAAACACAGGACATTTAGATACAGCCCTAATTAAGCCAAAAGTAACGTGATACTGGACATGCCGTTTTGCTTTGCCTCCTTTGCACAGAATGTTATACAAAGTGTACCAAAAAGCCTTCTTAGTCTGTTTCTTCAACATTAAATTATTTGTTACAATAAGCTATTACACTGCCTATTTAACAAACAAATGTTAGCACTAACAATAGTAACATTGTTATCTGAGCAAATTACAACTGATTGGCATTCTCCCCTGTAAAGAGCCCAGTGCTGAGAGACTGATAAGCCATAAAGGCAGCCAGATCCATTTCATTTCCAAAGCATCAAGGGAAAGCACAAGCCAGCCGTTCGTAAAACAATGTAAAGAAAAGCAGTCTCAGGACAGTTTTCCTCTGGATTCCTACTGGCATCCCAAATTGGAAAGCAAACTGGTAAAGGAGCAGATGCGAAAAATAGCACAATTTTAGATCCAAGGATTCTGAATTCAGGACAGACGTGCAATTTGCAGCACTGATTAAGACAGAATCCTATTAAAATTGAATGTTTGGAGGGAAAATAATTGTATAAAAGGAGTCATTAGTTTTATCCACATATTGCTTAGTTTTTGCTTGTAACTAAACCAAGAAATAGTCCAGTTATTTGTCATTCATCACCAAAACCACAGTAGTGAAACTGGAAACAATTCTAGGAAGATTCAATAGAAGTTGTTAAAGGTCATGATACCATAAGAAACAGTTAACTGGGTGGCATATCAAGATAAACAGATCTTGCCTACCGCATGAGTGAAAGCTCAACATTAACACTTCACTAAGGTAATTTTACATATATCATGTCCACAATTTGGATCACGTTTCCAAGGCGAGCCTCATTTTGTAAATTCCTGCACACTGCTGGTCTCTAGATCAATTTATATTTCTTGCCATTCTTCCAGCTGCTGTAGCTCTCTAACTTCACATCATCTGCAGATGTAATTAATGTGCTTTCTACCTCCTCTTTCAGATCATTCAAGAAAACATTATATAAAACAGTGAAGCACTAAACACTTCATTTATACAGAAAATGAGCAGATCTGCTAGAGGTCTCAGTGGACAACAGACTGACTGTGACAGATATACTGCTCCCCTTCAATATCTGTTTTATTATTTGTTGGGATTTTTTTTGTATTGTTGTTTTTTAAAGACACATGAAGATGAATACAGAATCATTTAGAAAGTTGTCTTCCCTTAATCAGATATCACACTCAGCACTTATCCATTAGACCAGTATTTTAAGTTTAGAAATAAAAACAAGAATTAGAAGCTTATGACAAAACTGTCATTTTCCCATGACCTCTCACCCTGCCCACTGTTTGTCTTCTACAGATGAAGAAAGAAGTGATTTCAACCATAAGACAGAAAATATTCTGGAAGGAAACAGAGAAGTTTCTCAAGTAATTTTTCTTTTAATTACTGATGTTTACAGGAAGATGCTTCACATAGGAAAAAAAAGTCATTAAAATATGAGCCAATATATTTTTTCATGGAAAATTTTAAAACTACATGAAAATTACTTTATTCTATAGAGACGGATTTTAATTTTGCATTAAATATATATAAATACACGTTATATAATCTTAGCATTATTACATTCCACTAAAAATGAGAGTTATCATATCTAAAGGCAATAATTATCAAAGGTTATACACTGAAAGGAGAAGCCATTTACACAGCAATGCCTGCA